AAACTTTTCATGGTACCTATTGTTCTTCACTTCCACGCAATTTCATAAATATTTTCATATGATACGTCTAAATTTTTCTAGATTATTTCAATTTTCTTTTCGATTCGCGTAAAACTTCCGCGAGAAGATTTAAGTCTGATTTACACGAGCGGATAATGGGTGATGTAAGTTCAGTCATTGGTCAATATCACTGAAGGAGCGATCAAATGATCGATTTATATTGTCAATATTTCTTAATATTATCACACATAAAAACATTCAATATTTACTGTCAATAGTGATCCCTTATTTTTAAGAGTGTCGAGAATTTTGAAATTTTGGCAATTTGTCGTCTGAACGCTCTAATGTACAATACGGTTAAGTCAAGTGAAAATTTGACTATATATCACTTCTTTTTTACTATATATCACTTTACTATATATCACATTAGCTAAGGATCGAAACCATGACATTTTTGATAGAATTTGACTTGATCGTTATCTGTGAAAAGAAAAATCGTAAAGAAGCATAGTCGTTTGAGTCTTTCCTCAGGGGAATAGTGAAAAGCAGACTGCCACGAGATTTATTCGTCTCTGATTGATAAGTACGAATATCTTAATACAGTTGAATGCCAAGTGTTTTTTTAACTTATTTTTATTAACAAGGACTTCCAATAGATAATTTCTTTCAAATAATATAGTTTAAAATTGACAAAGCAAATAATATATTATCTTATTTAGTTTGATGTTATTTGAAATAAATATTAGTAAACAAGTACATTATTTCAAATTATTATGTAATTTATATTTTATTTCAAATGTAGCCTTCTTTTCTTCTTAGTCATTGATATGCATCAATGAATAATTTGTAGTCCTAGGGGTCCGCGGATCACAGATTAAAGCCCAATAGACACGAACGACGCGAACGAACTACTTAAGAACAATGTGAACATGAAAATATCGCTCCTTTCGTTCAATCATCATTATTTTGTTCTTTTCGTTATGCGACTGATGTGCAATCCGGTAGACAACTGACAGCCTACAATCATTTTGTGATATTTTTATATTTAAGAAATTTTATATTTATATTGTTCTTTTCTCTCTTGTGTCTTTCTCTTGTTTCTGTGGCATGGTGATGGCAACATGATCGCATTACTCGGGTGAACTGCGCTACTGAAACACTGCCTTAATGAGGCTTAAATTTCACGCTCAATAGATTTTTCAATAGTTTCAACTAACTATAAGTAGTGTAAATGTTCTCAATGGATTACGCGTGAATGAATATTTACTGTCGCTTGACTTGGCGTGATGTGATCGTTGACCATCAGTGTGAATTAAGTTTAAAAACGTATTATTACGAATGCATTTGAAGCGTCGAAGAAATAAAAAAATGTTAAGATGCAAAAGGAAAGAAAAATGATATTTCACAAACAAGGATTCGCAAGAAGTATTTCTTCGACGAAACATGATCGATTAGTGTAACTTTATTATTTTCCACGTTTGCTCATTGTTCAGCACGTCGCGTTTATATTGTATTCATACCAAGAATTTCAGCGTTTAGAGAGACAGATACTAAAATATTTCTTCGGTGATATTTGTACCATTGAAGTGATTGGCTTTTATAAACTGCTAAAGAATCATATTGATAGGATCGCTTCTTCATTAACTTTGCATTGCGTATAGAACAGAAATATAGGACATCGAGGTTTTCAGTACCTGAAATATACAAAAATTGCTCGCGAAGTTACTCGGTCATTCCCGTGGAATCGCCTGTGCATCGCATTGAAATTCAATTTTGCTTACCTGGGAGTACAACAATATGGTAAACCAACA